GGGGGAAGGGGAGGGAAAGGGGGAGGGGGAGGTGTAGTATTACCAAATATATTTTGTCCCAATTCTGTTTTTGAACACGGACATGCTTTAATACTATTGGGTGGGGAGAGGGTGTAGGATTTTAACTGGGTCCTTTGATTTAATCTACCGAACGTCAACCGCGGGCGACCGTCTGTTCAGACGAGCAAAAAGCAACTGTTTAGCATGTTAGACTGACTAATATCCCCCATTAACTATCTACTTCTGATGAGATGAACAGCAGGATGTATCCAAATTACAATTACAAAGAGCAGATATAACTTCAACTCCATAGATATCAAGTTTGAAAACGTTGAGAAGCCCACGATTTTTGTAAACTCTTTGTTCATACCACTTCTCAGTTTTGAAATCTTCAGGAGAAGGTTACAGGTTCTTCTGAAAGTCTCAGTATAAGCCTTGTGACTTTTCTGTGCTGAGACGGGCCCCCCGTCACTGAATGAGCCTCACAGGAAGACAAGATTGGCTCTGTGCTAATATGCTCTGTAAATCAGCACGACCGCTGTGTCCACATTGCATGTGATTACAAACATCTTAATTGGTTTGACCTTGCAACACTTCAAAGCAAGACCCACTTATAAGACGTAAAGATGATTTTGAAGAAACTAGCTTGTTTGGTTGTTAAAGTGATTTCCTTCTTTTTTCTTTTTTTTTTTCTTTCTTTTTTTTTCTCTTTTTTTTGAGTCGTGTGTAAGCCAGGTCTATTGGAGCTGGGTTTCAGAACACGACGGATTTTTACAACCTTATTTCGCCCCACAAAAGTAACAAAACAATAACGACAACAACAATAACGACAACAACAATAACGACAACAACAATAACGACAACAACACTCCCTTGTGTCTCATTCAAAAGAAAACGTCAACGACTTCTAAACCTGACCTGTAAGTCGCCTTTCATGCATTCTTTTCCAATGAGTAGTGGATACAAATTTGCAGAATTTATACGCATACCGAATTCAACAGTAGTGACACGGGGAGGGAGGGGAAGAGAGAGACAGACAGAGAGGGGGGGGAGACAGAGAGACAGAGAGAGACAGAGAGACAGAGAGACAGAGAGACAGAGACAGAGACAGAGACAGAGAGAGAGAGAGAGAGAGAGAGAGAGAGAGAGAGAGAGAGAGAGAGAGA